GCTGGGGAAGAAGCAGACACTGATAGTTCATTGTGGCTGCGGAGTCCTCTTGATTCTCTCTTTTCCCAGGGTCAGGAGGAAGTTGGGGCAGAGGGCTCTAACTCCCCTGGAGACACTGAGCCCCTTTTCTGGTCACCTTCCCTTGAACAGCAGCTCCTCTGGTTGTTAGAATGGTTTCTCCATGGCAACCTTCATGAGGATGTAGGGAGCAGGTATCAAGGGAGTTCCAAGGCCATTTTTTCAGCCTAACTTGCATTTTTGTAGGTCTCTTGTGGACTTGTGCTGTCATGAGAAAGGGATCCTCGCAGACATCAAAAGCCGCCCAGCCCCACTACTACACACAGGTTGTTTCTAGGCCTTACTTTCTTCATGTGTAAAAATAGAAATGCAAGACTGTACTTAGTGTTGTCATAGCTGTAAAAAATCTCATTCTCAGTCCTTAGGTCATCTGTAGTTAGCAAAGCCCAGCAGTGAGTCGGGTCTGTAACCGCCATGTCATTGCCACAGTCTCCCACAGGACTGCAGTGGAAGCCGCTCTTACAGGCTCTCTGCCCAGCTGGGCTGCATATTCCAGGAGGATGAGACCATGTGTGCCTCATCCCTTTAGCCTCCTGAGGTTTGCTATAGTAGATGCTCATTAACAAGTTAAGTTTGCCCAGATAAATAGGTAAGAAGAAAAGGATATATACTGGAAACAACCAGGAATTGGTCAAGGTCCTTCCTGTATGAGAAAGACGTAATGGACCATTTATCTGTGTACTTGGGTCACTGAAGCAGGCAGAAATTGTCTTTGTCATGGACTTCTGGTCAGTTGTCTCGTGTCCTGGGAGGGACAGCTTGGTTCCCTGGGAGAAGAGGTCGGGAGGGGGTTGGTAAGAGGTTCAACTTTGGAGAGTGGCGAATACAGTAAGGTCTGCCTGTCTCGGAGTCACTTCTCACCTTCTCTATTTCGGTGGCATTTTTCTTTCTGTGGAAACTTCCACGGTGTAATAGGGAGCCGTGGGAGTGGAAGCAGTCTTTGCCCACATCAGCCCTGGGTGTGGATCAGCAGGACGACACGCATGAGATGCCGGTCACCAGCTGTGCATACCGGCTTGTGCTCATTTGGTTGGTTGCCGAAGGAGCGTTGTCATGCCTGGTGGCAGGAAGTCAGAACAGTTAAGAGGGTGAAGGCAAGAGGGGTTTTGGTAGCAACAGGGAGCCTCCCGAAGCTAGGAAAGCCCAGTGTTAGGACTTCCAGGTCTTTATCTAGGATTTCTCTTTATCCTTAAGAATCCTCTATCATGTGGGTACTAGGTAGCAGGAGATACAGTATACAGAGTGGGGAGCTGTGGGGTCTGGACTCTCACTTTGTGACCTGGGACCTATCACTTCCCCTCTGGGCTTCAGTTTGCTCATGTGAAAGGTTTGGACTTCGTTGTCTTTATGGTCCTTTCCAGCACTTCCATTCTGTGATTCTGTAACCCATTTGGTCCCAAAGCTATCTGTGGTTTCTTGTGTCTTGGAGTCAAAAGACCTGCTCTGTTTGAATTCTGGCAGTGACCACTTCATAACTGAGTGACCTTGGGCTAATTACTTAACCTTTTTGAGTCTCTCTTCTTAACTACATTAAATCGTAAGACTCAAAGGAGGCAACGTGTAGGAAACCACTTTGAAGACTCCTAGAGGAGTAGTGTTGCTGGGGAGAGGACTGTTGGACCCCAACCAATACTCGGCACCACTTTCTCTTCTTCCCTTTCCTCAATTGCCACACGGAGTGGAGCTGCCACTTCTCTTTCATGCTCTTCCTCAAAAGCTGTCTGAAAGCTGTGAAAGCACTTTGAAAATTAGAGAGTCTTATGAAAGACACTTCTTTGTTAAGTTCGGAAATATGAGGTTTCTGATATATCTGGCTTCCAGTTTCCATCCTTGGGTATTCGTTTTACCCTTATCACAAAATAGAATCCAAAAGCTTTCGGTGTATTTCTTAGGATTTTTGAGTGATTGCTGAGTATACAGAGAACACTTCCAGGAGGGCTGGATGAGAACTGATTAGTGGACAGAAGAGTTGGTTGTTGGCATCTGTAAACATACTTTCTCTTAGAACACGTTGAGACTCCTGGGCTAGCTCACAAGCCTCTAACCCTGTGAAGCAGTTGAATGGAAAATGGAAGAAAGCAGTGCTTGCTATGAACAATATCATAAGTAAGACCAAGACAGCCCCAGAGGTGCTATTTGAATAAGTTGAATATTTGACTTTAAGGAAGGGTAGGCTTAACCTGTGGACTCTCTGGAGGGAGGGACATGGAGCACTCGGCAGTGGTGGTGTCTGGGTTACTTGATGGCCAGAGCATGTCAGACTCTTGCTTCCCTCCGGATGCATGGCATTTCAGCAGCACATTACTCTAAGCACAGGGCTTCAAGTGGAATGAAGCAAGAGAGGAAGACTTCTAGGGAAACTGGACAAGGCCGAGGAAGAGGAGGGAGCTCAGAGAAAAACTACTTGTTATAGACTTCAGTGTGGTGGGAATGTTGGCAGACAGGGTGAGATTATAACTTGTCTATGGTAGATTGGAGGACATTTTGATGAATACTGAGTGAAAGAGCAAATGGATAAATGGGAAGGAAAAAAGTGTTGGGGTGAGAGTTCCCTATACTGCCCACCAGGTGGCCAAATGGAATTATTGCAGGGCAGGGGGAGTGACTGGCTAAAAGGCTGAGGGTTGCAAGGAGGAGGTGATTTGAGGTTGATCACACTATTTTAAGCTCTGTTCCAGAGCCTAACTCAAAGTAAGTAATCAATAATTAAATCTTGAATAAACAAGTAATTCATAAGTTGGGTCATTGCAACCCTATTACCTGCTTATATATGGAGTAGAAATAAGCAGGTGGAATTAAACCTTGGAAAATGTGGCCAGGATTATGTGTAGTTTTCAGAGTGAGCCCAAGTGGCAGTCTTGTCTGAGCAAATGGGCAAGTCACTGCTTCAAGAAGTTTGTGGGAGCCAATTTCTGCGCGCACTGGAAGACGGAGGTCCTCTTTCCTTGCCTAACGCAGCCATGGCTCGTGGTCCCAAGAAGCATCTGAAGCGGGTAGCAGCTCCAGAGCATTGGATGCTGGATAAATTGACCGGTGTGTTTGCTCCTCATCCATCCACCGGTACCCGCAAGTTGAGAGAGTGTCTCCCCCTCATCATTTTCCTAAGGAACAGACTTAAGTATGCCCTGACAGGAGATGAAGTAAAGAAGATTTGCATGCAGTGGTTCATTAAGATCGATGGCAAGGTCCGAACTGATATAACCTACCCTGCTGGATTCATGGATGTCATCAGCATTGACAAGACGGGAGAGAATTTCCTTCTGATCTATGACACCAAGGGTCGCTTTGCTGTACATCGTATTACACCTGAGGAGGCCAAGTACAAGTTATGCAAAGTGAGAAAGATCTTTGTGGGCACAAAAGGAATCCCTCATCTGGTGACTCATGATGCCCGCACCATCTGCTACCCCGATCCCCTCATAAAGGTGAATGATACCATTCAGATTGATTTGGAGACTGGCAAGATTACTGATTTCATCAAGTTCGACACTGGTAACCTGTGTATGGTGACTGGAGGTGCTAACGTGGGAAGAATTGGTGTGATCACCAACAGAGAGAGGCATCCTGGATCTTTTGACGTGGTTCACGTGAAAGATGCCAATGGCAACAGCTTTGCCACTCGACTTTCCAACATTTTTGTTATTGGTAACGGCAACAAACCATGGATTTCTCTTCCCCGAGGAAAGGGTATCCGCCTCACCATGGCTGAAGAGAGAGACAAAAGACTGGCGGCCAAACAGAGCAGTGGGTGAAATGGGTCCCTGGGTGCCATGTCAGACCTTTGTACGTAATTAAAAATATTGTGGCAGGATTAAAAAAAAAAAAAAGTTTGTGGGATAGTGGATTCATTTGTACCATTTTTATTTCGTTGCTTAAGGAACTCTGGGAGTCTTCATCAGCTGTAATTGCTCCCTGTTGCCCCCATCCCACATCAGCTTATTCACCAAGTCCTGCCCATTCAGCTTAACTGCCATTTTTAAATCAACAGCTTTATAGAGATAGTTAGCATATAATAAACTGCATATATTTAAAGTGTATATTTAATAAAGTTTCACATATGTATACACCCACAAGTCACCACAGTCAAGATAATAAACATATTTGCCAACCCTAAAATTTCCTCCTCCCCCTTTGATTCCTCCTTCTACTTGTCCTTCATTCCAAGCAGCCACTGATCTGCTTTCTTTCACTGTAGATGTTTTTCAACTTTATGATGGTGCGGAAGTGATGGGCAGATACAGTAGCAGCCGTACTGGAGTACTCAAACAACCATTATGTTTTTCAGGCTTAGTAAATATTCCATAAAATTACATAAGCTATTCAACACTTAATGTAAAATACGGTTTGTGTTAGATGATTTTACACAACTGTAGGCTAATGTAAGTGTTCTGGGCATTTGGCTAAGTGATGTTAGGTTAGGTGTATTAAATGCGTTTTCAACATAAAATAGTTTCAACTTATGATGGGTTTATCGAGATGCATGTATTTTAAGTTGAGGAACATCTTTTTTTTTTTAGACTTACATAGATAGAATTGGATGGTATGGTCCCCTTTTACTCTAGTTTCTTTCCCTTAGCGTAATTGTTTTGAGATCAGTAGTGTGTATCAAGTTTACTCCTCTTCATTGCTGAGTAGTATGGCATTGTGTGTGGTGAATTTTTTTTTTTTTTTTCCAGTTTGGGGTTGTTATAGGTACAGCTGCTGTGAACATTTGTGTACAAGTTGTTGTGTGGACACATGCTTTAATTTCTTTGGGGTAAATACCTACGAGTGGAATGGCTAGATCATAATGGTAGGTGTATGTTTAGGAAAATGCCAAACTGTTTTTTCAAAATTGTTGTCATTTGCATTCCCACCAGCAATGTATATGAGAGCCGGTTTTTCTTTTCTTTTCTTTTTTTTTTTTTTTTTTTTTTGTGGTGGGGTAGGGCTGCCCCAAAGGACAGACTGGTTTATTGGGCAGCAGCCAGGAAAATCAGCAGTTGGACTTGGCCACATGCTCCAGCTCATCCTTCTTCTTGATGGCATAGGAGTTGGAGGAGCCCTTGGTGGCATTGATGAGTTCATTTGCCAGGCACTCAGCAATGGTCTTGATCTTCTGGAAGGCAGCCTCATGAGTGCCTGTGCACAGCAACCAGGTGGCCTGATTCACATGGTGCAGTAGGGACATATCCACAGCCTGTCATCTCACAGTGCCTGCTCACCCGATGCATGTGGAGTCCTCCTGGGGCCCACCATTGATGATAGTGTTCACCAGGGCCTGCAGAGGGTTCTCGCCTGTGAGCAGGTGGATGAAATTGAAGGCATGCTTGATGATGTGCACAGTCATGAGCTTCTTGCTGCTGTTGTGGCCGTGCATCATCATGGAGTTAGTGAGGGGCTCCACAGTGGGGCACTGAGCTTTGCAGAAGCATGTGGCAGCATAAGGCCCTGCACTGTGAGGCAGGTACTTGGCATACTTCTCCTTCACTGCAATGTAATCCTGCAGGGAAATGTCACTGATCTGCACATCATCATTTGTGCTGCATCATTGATCTGCACATCATCCACTTCCCAGAGAGCTTGGTGTCAGGGGTCTCTGCCACCACTGGTACTGCTGTCTCCCACTCGGTCATCCTGAGGGCACAGCCCGCGTGTCTCTGTTGCTCATTATGGACCTTGTGCCACCCTGGAGTGCCAGTTTTTCTTTTTGTTTTTTGTTTTTTGTTTTTTTTGAGACGGAATCTTGCTCTGCTGCCCAGGCTGGAGTGCAGTGGTGTGATCTCTACTTACTGCAACCTCTGCCTCCCAGGTTCAAGCAATTCCCCTGCTTCAGCCTCCTGAGTAGCTGGAATTACAGGTGCCCGCCACCATGCCTGGCTAATTTTTGTATTTTTAGTAGACATGGGGTTTCACCATGTTGGCCGCGCTGGTCTCGAACTCCTGACCTCAGGTGATACACCCACCTCGGCCTCCCAAAGTGCTGGGATTACAGGTATGAGCCACCACGCCCATGGAGTGCCAGTTTTTTCACATCCCTGCCTACACTTGGTGTGGTCAGCCTTTTTAATTTTATAGCACTTTAGTAGGTATCTCTTTGTGGTTTTAATTTGCATTTCTCTCACGACTAATGGTTTTAGGCATCTTTTCATGTGCTGCTTTGCCATCATACGTCTTCTGTGAAGTGTCTGTTCAAATCTTATGACCATTGTTCAAAATTTTTTTTAATTAAGTTTTGAGTTATTTGTATTCTAGATACAAGTCCTTTATCAGACTTGTAATTCACAGATCTTAGTGGTTTATCTTTTTATTCAAACAGCCAGTTTTTAATTTTGGTGAAGTCTAATTTATCAATTTTTTTCTATTATAGATTTTGTTTTTGGTGTCGTGTCTAAGGAAACTTTGCTTAATCCAAATTTACAAAAGCTTCTAATTTTATAGCTTTATATTTTACATTTAAATCTGTGTTCCATTTTGAGTTAATTTTTTAAATGGTACAAGTAGGGAATAAAGTTCCCTTTTTTTGCTTATGGATACTGGATTAGTTTAGTACCATTTGTTGTAAATCTCTGTGTCTGTACTCTCTGTTCTAGTCATTTGATCTCTCTGTGTATTCATACATGAATATCATACTGTCTTGATGACCATAGCTTTATAATAAGTCTTGAAATCAGGTGGTGTTAGTCCTTGAACTTACATTCTCTGTCCGAGTTGTTCTGACTGTTTTAGGTCCATTACGAACTTTCTAATCAATTTTCTAGGGTTTTGATTGAGGTTCTACTGAATCTCAATAGATTTTATTTGAGTAAAATAATAGATCTCAATTTTTGTTTAACTTGGAGAGGGTTGACATCTAAATTTTGAATCTTCGTACCCATGAACAAGATACACCTAATAGGTTTTGTTTCTTTCAGCAACATTTTGTAGTTTTGCATACCTTTTGTCTGATTTCTCTGTAAGTATTGAACATTTAATTCAAGGTCTGATTATTTGTTGCTAGCATATAGAAATAACATTGATTTTTGTATCTTGCAATCCTGCTAAACTCATTAGTTTTAATTTTTTTAATAGATTTTTTAATACTTTCTTGAAACACAGTCATGTCATATGCAAATAAGACAGTCTCACTCTTTCCTTATAAGTCTGGATACCTATTCTTTTTCTTGCCTTATTGCACTGACTAGAACCTCCAGTTCAGTGTTGAATAGAAGTGACAGTGGACTTTCTGGTTTGTTCCCAGTCTTACGGGAAGAGCATTTAGATGTTCACCAGTTGGTGAAATATCAGTGGTAGATTTTTCAAAGATGCTCTTTATAAGTTTGAGGGAGGTCACTTCTATCCCTAGTTTGCTGAGATTTTTTTTTTTTTTTTTTTTAATCAGGAATGGCTATGGATTTTGTTAAATGCTTTCATTTGTGTTTGTTGAAATGATCATATGATGTTTTCTTTTTTAGTTTGTTAATATGTTTTAGTTTGAATTACATTTTTTTTTCAATCTTGTTAAGCCAGTTAACAAGATGTTAAGCCAATTTTGCATTCTTGGGATAAAGCTTGCTTGGTCATGGTATGTTGTATTTTTTAATATATGATAGTAGTCAGTTTGCTAAAATTTTGTTTTGAATTTTAAAATGTGTATTCTTGAGGGACATTCATCTGATTTCTTGTAATGTCTTTGGTTTGGGTACAGGGTAATGCTGGCTTCATAGAACAAATTGAGATGTGTCTTCCTTTTTCTCGATGAATTTGTATCAGAATTGGTATTTTTGCCTTAAATGTTTGGTGTGGTTCACCAGTGAAGTCGTTTGGGGCCTGTAGTATTCTTTGTGGGAAGCTGCTAAACTTCATGTATTTCTTTAATAAGCTATAGGGCTTAAGGGTTTAAACTACACATATTTCTTTAATAACATATAGGGCCATTCAGCTTATCTGTATCTTCTTGAGTGAGATTTGGTAGTCTGTGTTTTTCAAGGAATTTGATCATTTCATCTTGAGTTGTTAAATTTAATGCTTGTTTTTGAAACAGGGTCTCGCTCTGTCACCCAGGCTGGAATGCAGTGATACAATCACGGCTCACTGCAGCCTGGACCTCCGGGGTTCAAGTCATCCTCCCACTTCAGCCTCCCCAGTACCTGGGACTACAGGCACACACCACCATGCCTAGCTAATTTTTGTAGTTTTCGTGGAGATGAGGTTTCACCATGTTGCTCAGGCTTTTCTCAGACTCCTGGTGTCAACTGATCTGCCTGTCTAGGCCTCCCAAAGTGCTGGGATTACAGGTGTGAGCCCCGGCACCCGACCTTGCAAAAACTTTTAATAATATTTCCTATTGTTTTAATATTTATGAAATCCGTAGTCGTTTCACCTTTCTCATTCCCAGTGCTGATAATTTACCTTACCTCTTTTTACTCACCAGTCTAGCTATAGAGGCATGTCAGTTTTACTCATCTTCTCCATGAACTAGTGTTTGGTTTCATTGATGTTCTCTGGTTTTCTTTTTTCTGCGTTAGGGATTTCTCCTCTCTCCCTCTCTTCTGTCATCTTACTGATTTAATTTGCTCTTTTCCCAGTTTCTTAAAGTAGAAGCTGAGACTATTGATTTGAGGTCTTTTTTCTTTTCTTACCTAGGCATTTAGTATATATGAATTTCCTGACAAGTATTGCTTTCATGGCATCCCCCCAATTTTGATTTGTGGCATTTTTTCATTCAATTCAAAGTACTTTGTAATTTCCCTTTTGATTTCTCTTCTACCTGTTTGTCCAGCTTATTTAGATATCTGTTTAGTTTCCAAGTATTTAGGCATTTTCCCAAGATTTTTGTGTATAACTTGAATCCCTTTATGTTATATGGCCCAGAGTATAGTTGACTTTGATAAATATTCTGTGTACATTTAGGAGGAATGTCTATCCTGCGATTGTTGGGTAAAGGGTTCTATAAATGTCAGTTAATTCCAGTCGGTTAATGTTGGTGTTCACTTTTTCTGTATCCTTGGTGATTTTCTGTATAAGTAGTTCTATCGATTACTGAAAGGGGAATGTTAAAAGACTTCAGCTGTGATTCTGGACATGTCCATTTCTCTGTTCAGTTCTGCTGTTCTTATATGTTGAAGCACTGTTATCTGGTGCATGTATATTTAAGATTATTATATCTTCTTGCTGAACTCGTCATTATGTATTGTCTCTTTTTATCCCTGGTAATCTTCTTTGCTCTGAAGTCTGCTTTGTCTGATGTTAGTATAGCCATTTGAGCTTTCTTTTGATTAGTGTTTTTGGTTGGTATATCTTTTTCTCTCCTTTTATTTAATTATATATTTACTTGAATAATTATTCCACTAAGCTTGACTTAAGAGTCACTTGGTAAATTTTCTTACAAGTTTTGAACCTCTTTGCCTTTGTCTGGAATTACACAAGGTGCCATCCCTTTTCTCATAAGTTCCTTCCTTGCTGAATTTGTTCCTTTTCAACTTGATCTTTCCAGCTTCCTGTGAGAGTTCCACATTTCATGCTAACACCACCATGGTCAAAGATTTACTCTGGACCTGCTCCGTGTTCATTCGGGGTGCTAGGGATAACACCAGAGCCTTTCTTCCTATGGCAATTGTGCTTTAGTGGAGTGAGGCAGACAGTAAGCAAATGCACACTGTGCCAGTGGTGAGAACGTGCTCTGTGGAACAAAACAAAGCCTTGAGTGAGGGCAGTGGAGAGTGAGGGGCCTTGGTGGAGCTAGGAGGGTGCTGCTTTAGGAGAGTGGGCACACAGAACGCCTCTCTGAGAGAGTGACATTTGGACAGAGACATGCTTAGAAGCAAGGGATGAGCTACATGGAAGTTGGGCAGAGAACATTTCCAACAGAAGGACCAGTGAGTGCAAAGGCCTGGGAGGGCAATGTGTGTTGGAGTCCTGAGAACCACATGTATGGCTAGACAAAGCAAATGATGCCGAAAAGATCATAGTTTTAACCAGCTAGAACATTGCAGGATTGTGAAATACTGCGCTGAAAACTTATCTTTAGTCACATAATGGTCCAAACCAAATAGTACAAGGGAGGTTTAACCTTTTAGGTCTGCGAGGAGCAGGGAGTGGGTAGGGATGGGCTCTTTCCTTGCACTGTCATCCAGCAGGCTGCTGAGGACCTTGTCAATCTTTGAAGACCAGTGAGCCGTGCAGGATGCCCGTCGACATTAGTCTGGTTTGAGTGATGAGTGGTAAATTCTTTTTCTTCCAGTAATTTTCTTTTTGTTCCTTGTCCATGTTGAACATAGTTGTAGACCAGTCCCATGCCTTTCTTAATCTTTTCCCATATTTGTAGGCTCATGGTTCTCTTAGGTGTGTTAGTTCACAGGGAAAATCCTTTAAAAAGTTAGAAGAATATCTAATAGATGTTTTCACACACACACAACATTCATTAATAGTTTGGAAAATTCAGTCTCATCCATGGATTATAAGTTTCCCCCATACTTTATAGTACTTCACACCATCTGTAGTGTCACAGTGTATTTTTGCTGCCATAAAGCTGGTTTGGATTCATATTTTCACAAGAGTGTAATGGGAAAGACCATAGAAAAAGGGAGATTGGGCGTAACACTGCAATTGTGTTTAGCTGGTCAGCTGGTAGTTTCTGTTGTGACAAAGGTATGTG